GATGTGTACCCGCCCCCACCCCGCTACCCCTCTTGCTAAACCCTTTGTTCTGCTCTCTAATCTTTGTACATACCAGAGATTTTGTAAGTTCTGTGAGTACCTGTTTTTCTGCACGTACCAGAGATTTTGTAAGTTCTGAGGCAGGGTCACAAGACGTGTTTAAGTAAGATAAACTCTTGCTGCCATAAACCAGTTGGGCAACCTGATGCATTATAATTAACTGCCTTTGTGTAAAACTGCTCTCCCGCCTCAAGGGTTGAACCGAAATATCAGAAATGGCGGGAACCAATCATAGTTAGCCAAATCGCCTTGTTCAAACACTAGCCAATCATATATCTGATTTGTATAATAATTCTATGCCCACTTTTCTTAGACTATATAACACTGCTCGGAGCTCGGTGGGGGAGCTCTCCTGCCCGTCCCGTTTCACGAGCGAGTGAGAGTTCCAGGTTCGAACCTGTAATAAAGATCCTTGCTGCTTAGCTTTGACTCTGGACTCTGGTGGTCTTCTTCGGGGAATAAACGGTCTGGGCATAACAGTAAGAGATCAGAGTAACCAAAACAAGCTTGGAAAACAAGCAACAAATTAGGAGGCCTCATACTTCCTGATTTCAAAACTTGTTACAAGTAAGGAAGATAGTGTAGTATTAATATAAGGATAGACATATAGACCAACGGAAGAGAACTGAGTCCAGAAGAAATGAATCCATTTGTCTATGGTAAACTGATTTTCAACAAGGGTGCCAAGACCATTCAAAGGATGAAAGAATAGTCTCTTCAATAAATGGTGCTGAAATAATTGGATATTCACATGCAAAAGAATCAAGTTGGACTTTTGCCTCATGACATTTACAAATGTTAATTCAAAATGGATCAGAGATCTAAAAGCTAAGATTATAAAACTCTTAGTGGAAAAACCAGGGGGAAATCTTCATGGCCCGGGACTTGGCAATGGAATCTTAGATATAACACCAAAAGCATAAGAAACAAAAGGCAAAAAAAAAAAAAGAGATAACTTTGACTTCATCAAAATTAAAAACTTTTGTACTTCAAAAAAAACACTATTAAGAAAATGAGCCGGGCGTGGTGGCTCACGCCTGTAATCCCAGCACTTTGGGAGGCCGAGTCAGGTAGATCACCAGGTCAGGAGATTGAGATCATCCTGGCTAACATGGTGAAACCCCGTCTCTACTAAAAATACAAAAAAAATTAGCCGGGCGAGGTGGCGGGCGCCTGTAGTCCCAGGTACTCGGGAGGCTGAGGCAGGAGAATGGCATGAACCTAGGAGGCAGAGCTTGCAGTGAGCCGAGATGGCGCCACTGCACTCCAGCCTGGGCAACAGTGAGAGACTCCATCTCAAAAAAAAAAAGAAAGAAAAGAAAAGAAAATGAAGAGACAACCTTCTACAGGATAGGAGAAAATATTTGCAATTCATGTATCTGATAAGGGACTGTACCTAGAATATATAAAGAACACGTGAAACTCAATAACAAAAAGACAAATAACTTATTTCAAAAATGGTCAAAGAATAAATATTTCTACAAAAAAGATAAGCAAATGGCCAATAGGCACACAAAACAATGCTCAACATCATTAGTCATCAGGGAAATGCAAATAGAAACCACAAGATTCCACTTCACACCACTAGAATGGATGGCTAGAGTCAAAAAGTCAGATGATAACAACTGTTGGCAAGAACGCAAAGAAATCAAAATGTTTATAAACTGCTGGTGGGAATGTAAAACGGTGCGGTTACTTTAGAACACTCTGGCAGTTCCCCAGACAATTAAATATAGAGTTACCATATGACCCAGCGATTCCACTCCTAGGTATAAACCCGAGAGGACTGAAAACATACATACAAACAAAAACTTACACAAAAAGTATAATGTTTATAGAAGCAGCATTTATAATAGGCAAAAGTTGGAAATAATACAAGTGTCTATCAACTGATGAATGGAAAAAACTAAAAAAGGTATATTCATAAAACAAAATATTATTTGGTCATAAAAATGAATAAAATACTAATACATGCTACAACATGATGAACCTTGTAAACATTATGCTAAGTAAAAGGTGCCGATCATAAAGACCAAATATTATATGATTCCATATATATATGAAATATCCACAGCAGGCAAATACATAAAGACAAAGTACATTAGTGGTTGCTTAGGGCTGGGGGAATGGGGCAACAGGGGTTGATAGTTGAAGGGTATGACTTTTTTTTTTTGAGACGGAGTATCGGTCACCCAGGTTGGAGTACAGTGGCACAATCTCAGCTTACCGCAACCTCTGCCTCCCAGATTCAAGTGATTCTCGTGTCTCAATTTCCTGAGTAGCTGGGATTACAGGTGTGTGCCACCACGCCCAGATAACTTTTGTAATTTTTAGTAGAGATAGGGTTTCACCATGTTGGCTAGGTTGGTCTCGAACTCCTGACCTTGTGATCCACCCACCTTGGACTCTCGAAATGCGAGGATTACAGGTGTGAGCCACCACGCTCAGCCATTTCTTTTATTTTTTTGGAGATGGAGTCTTGCTCTGTTGCCCAGGCTGGAGTGCAGTGGTGCAATCTCAGCTCATTGCAACCTCCGCCTCCCGGGTTTAAGCAATTCTCCTACCTCAGCCTCCCAAGTAGCTGGGACTACAGGCACACGTGGCACGCCCAGCTAAGCTAATTTTTTGTATTTTAGTAGAGTCGGGGTTTCGTTGTGTTGCCCAGGCTGGTCTTGAACTCCTGAGCTCGGGCAATCTGCCCGCCTTGGCCTCCCAAAGTGCTAGGATTACAGGCATGAGCCATCGTGCCTGGCCAACATTTCTTTTCGAGATAATGAAATGTCCTAAAATCGACTGTGGTGATGGTTGCACTTAAGCTGTGACTATACTAAAAAACCAATTGTACACTTTAAAAGGGTGAATTGTATGATATGTTAATTATATCTCAATAAAGCCATATAAAAATAAAACTATAAATTGAAGATGTAGGTCATCATATCTACGTTAGAATGAAAGTGACCTTTCCAAAAACATGACACCAATGTTAGAAACCATGTAAGAAATATTTCACGTGAAACATATCCTTTATGTTCTGTTCTATTTAACATACATATTAGGGTTTTGTCTTTTCTAATTTACTAATCTTTGTCTTTTAATTGGAGGACTTAATTCTTTAAAATATATTGTAATTACAGAAAATTTGTGCTTACAAAGTAAAATAGGCTATTAGAAGATAATATCAGAATTGATTGGGCACAGTTGCTCATGCCTATAATTCCAGAGCTTTGGGTGCTCAAGGTGGAAGGATTAGTTGAGGCCAGAAGTTTGAGACCAGCCTGGGCAACATAACAAGACCCCATCTCTACAGAAAATTTTAAAATTGGCCAGGCATGGTGGTGCATGTCTGTAGTCCCAGCTACTTGGGAGGCTGAGGCAAAAGGATCACTTGAGCCCAAGAGTTTGAGGCTGCAATGAGCTATGATTGTGCTACTGCACAGCCTTGGTGACACAGTGAGACACTGTCTCTAAATAAATAAATAGATACATTTTTTAAAAAGATGATATCAGAAAATATAATCTTGAGCTAGGAAATGCTCTCTTTTTTCTTTTCTTTTTTCTTTTCTTTTCTTGCTCTTGTTGCCCAGGCTGGAGTGCAGTGGCGCAATCTTGGCTTACTGCAACCTCTGCCTCCTGGGTTCAAGCAATTCTCCTGCCTCAGCCTCCCAAGTAGCTGGGATTACAGGCATGTGTCACTATGCCCAGCTAATTTTGTATTTTTAGTAGAGATGGGGTTGCATCATGTTGGTCAGGCTGGTCTCGAATTCCTGACCTCAGGTGATCCACCCACCTTGGCCTCCCAAGGTGCTGGGATTACTGGTGTGAGCCACTGCGCCTGACCGGAAATGGTTTCTTAAACAAGATACAGAAAGCACTAAACATAAAGAAAAAGATCAATGTGACTATGTTTCAGTCTATAAAATCTTTAATAATTACAAACATTTACTGAGAGTTTACTATGTGTATCAAGTTAAGGACTTTACATACCTCATACCATTTAATCTTCACAAGAACCTACGATGAGTCAATACTATTATTTTCCCTGTTTCACAGATGATGCTTAAGGAGGTTAAGTATTTCACCTGAAGTCACATAGCAACTATGCCAGGGTTGAAATTTGGGTCTATCTGATTCCAAGTCCAAACTCATAATCACTACCCTAGAGGCCATGCCAGTTTTGGGGGAAAAGTTCTTCAACTCTTCAGTCTCTAAAACCAGCAGCTTTCTCCTCTTTTATTTTATTTTTTTAAACCAGTATCTTACATTCAATGTTTCCATTTTTTCATCATCTACTTGCCATCCCTTCTGCCATACCCTTTATGAGAATTCCCAATCTGGGTTGTTACTCACTCACTCCTGATCTCCTTGCAACCTAGCTTCAAGCTCCAGTAATAATGATATCCTAATCAGATAAGGAAATGTAGGAAACTCTAATTAAAATGGCCTTTTCTCAGTCTTCATTTCTACTGACCTTTTGTACCTCCTCCTTCTTTAACTGTGATTCTCCTTAATTTGTCAGTCATACTTTTAATTTCTCATTCAACAAATAAGTAGTTGGCATCAACTTTGTGCAAGCATTGTGCCCAGTCCTGGGAAACAAATGTCAAAAGACACAGTCTCAACCATCAATGAGCTTGTTTAGATTGAAGATAATTAGGCAACTGACAAATAATAAGCAGAATGGAGACATTTTGTGTGTGTGTATTGCAGTATATTTTAGTGGTTAAGTCTATGTTGGAGTCAGATAGACAAAAGTTTGAGATCTGAATTTGCCACTTGTTATGTTAGTCGCGTAAGCATGAACAAGTTACTCAAAGTACTTTAAGAATTAAGTCAATCATTATAAATTATTTCCTGTTTGCTTTAGAAAAGCAGGATGCTATTGGTGTTTGTGAGAGACTAAACAATGTAATATAGACCCCGTTATACAAGTTAGAAGAATGCCTGAATTTAAATAGTTTATTAAAATTATAATAATTAAACGCAAACTCTATTTTATTGCTACCAAAAAAAGTTCTTCAGGTACATTTAACATAGCCTTCTACTGCTGGACTACATTATAAAATCAATATATAAATTACATTGACACAATGTCAAAGGAAAAAGCTTGCCTTTTGAGGTTAGAAGTACACTCTGATGTCCTAACTTGGATAATTCTAGGTGTATCCTATAGATAGGATATTGAGTAACCATACTAGACTATGGAAAAGAGATACACAGACAAACTGTAAACATTTAATAAATTGGACCATACACCAAAATTGGTAAATTTCCCCAAGACTGACTCTTGCTCTGTTGCCCAGGCTGGAGTGCAGTGGTGCAATCTCGGCTCATTGCAACCTCCTCCTCCCAGGTTCAAGCGATCCTCTAGAAAGGCAAGAATGTATTTCATTTATTTGTTCTTACTAATGGGTGAAAACTCTAAAGATACCAGATTGCAAATCCAGTCTATTACTAAACTGCTGATGCTGGAAACAAGCCAATTAGGCAGACTTGGGGGACTCTTTAGTTGAAATGACCATTATCCCAAAAATGTATTTTATTTAATATATATGTATATACTGTGTGCTCAAGTGTATAATAAGCAATTCAATTTGGAGGGCAAGGGTAGGATTTTTAAAGTTTGACACATGCAGAAATTTTACATTTAAATTTTGGTGTCTTCTGACATCAACTAAAGTAATAACCATGTTAAATTATCTATTTATATTCATATATTTATATATAGATATAGTGTAGAACATATTATCTATTCTATATCTATGTATGTATCTACCTATATCGATATATTGTATATGTATATACGTGTATATGTTAAATAAAATTATGTTATTAAAATGTTAGTAAAGTTACATGTTATTTAAAACATGTTAAATGAAATAAGAGGAGGTAACAACCTATGGCCTCCTGCGTTTTCTCGGTTTCCTATAAAATGAGAACTACAATAGCCTCTCGTCAGGGAAATTAAATAATAGATTTAAAGTGTTCCACATGGTGCCTATAAGTTAGCTAATTTCTAAGTATTTATAAAATGTCCACCATTTTTGCCTCTTGGGCTAACCTTAAAAAAGAAGTTGACGTGTACCAAGCAGAGAAAGAAGGAAGTCATTCCAGGAGGGAGAATGCTGCACACGAAGCTATGGTGGTAAGAGAATATGGCCTGTGGAACAAATTCAGTGGTTGAACTGAAGATAATAAGACTGACTAAAAGCAGGAACACTATTTAAAGGGCCAAAATAAGAGGTGAGAAACTCCTGGATTAGAATAGTAGCCAAGGAGAAGAAGGGATAGATAAAAGAGCTATCTAGGATGTACAGCTGATAGGAACTAAGGGATGATTACATGGTGATGAAGAAGAGAGCAACAGATATGCTAGGTTTCTAATGTGGTTTACTGGATGTATGTTGGTGACATTCAATCGCAGAGCCACACACATATTTTAGAGGAAGAAGCTGAAGCATTTGTTTTTTGTTTTTTGGTTTTTTTTTGAGACAGAGTCTCACTCTGTCACCTAGGCTGGAGTGCAGCGGCTCAATCTCCGCTTGCTGCAACTTCTGTCCACCTCCCACCCCCCGAGTAGCTGGGATTACAGGCATGCGCCACCACACCCGGCTAATTTTTTGTATTTTTAGTAGAGATGGGGCCATGTTGGCTAGGCTGGTCTCAAACTCCTGGCCTCAAGTGATCTGCCTGCCTCGGCCTCCCAAAGTGCTGAGATTACAGGCATGAGGCACAGTGCCCGGCTAGAAGCATTTGGTTTTAAACATAAACATTTGGTTTTAAATGTAAGGCATCTCGGTAAAATCATCTACAATTTAATGGACATAACACAGAGAATTCAGAAGTCAACATTCTTTTTAGAGTACCTGATAAACATATAATTATGTCCTTATAGAATCACACTGGCAATGACAAAGGGATATTAATCAAGACTTAAAGATAGCAGAGTTTCATGAATAACTTGGAAAGTATAAACTAATTCAAATTGGAATGAAGTACATTAAAAACACACTTTCATCAATACCTCAGCTGCTCTGCCGTTGTAAAGGCGAAAATGATTACAGGCTTTAAGATTGAGTGCGATGGTACTATCAGGAATTTGCTGAAGGTAAACAGCCAAAACTTCTTGAGACACATCATAGTAATCCAACTTATAGTAGCAGAGGGCCACGTAGACATTGAGGGCAAGGTATTCCCTATTAGATGAAATAATTAGGGTTAACCATTTAAGTCTACTTCACAGAAATGTCAAATTACAAAGCTCAAATAGACAAGGCAAAGAGGACAGTTATGAATCTGCCTTAGGAAGAAAGAGGGTAAGATATAATCAGTATAATTATTTTCTTTTTGCATTGCAATATTTGGGTGTTTCGATATAAGTAGAGTGAAGGATGACAACTAGAGAAGAAAGGGAAAGTTCATGCTGTTCATATTGAAAAACTAATATATGTGATAATTGAACATAAACACAAGTACACTCCACACAGAAGACCAACAGACAAGACACGTAGGCTTGATGGCTGGAAATGGAAGTAGGTAGGAGGTAATGCAAAAGAGGATGGAAGGAAGGGGGATGAGATATTTTTGGGAAGGGAGAGAGAGGCCAAGTGTTTAGTGATAAAGTTGGAATGTAAATTCTTAAGAATGGTTTGGGGCCGGGCGCGGTGGCTCAAGCCTGTAATCCCAGCACTTTGGGAGGCCGAGACGGGCGGATCACGAGGTCAGGAGATCGAGACAGATC